AAGCCATTTCTAGTGGTTTAAACCATCATGCATACTTCAGAGTGGGGAAGAGTCGGAGGACAACCTAGTATACTGTAACTTTGATTGGGTTTGAGTGGAAAGACATTTCTAAACCCATCATACTCATAATCCTTGCCTCTGGCTTGCAGCAGTTCCTAACTGTACATTTCCATTTGGTGATGCTTGCATGACAAGTGAATGTAATTTTTATTCCATTGCCTCCATAAATCCCATGGCTCCAACTACCTCAGACTCTTATGGGCTACTGCATACTGTATACATTTTGCAACTGCTCAGTCTAAACATATGAGCTGGGGAGCTTCCATGTGTGATGCATTTCCTGCAGTGTGCACTGTATTATACACTATATAAGCACACTGCTTTGTCTGTCACGTGCACACAAATTCCCAGCTCTGCAAATGAGCCATTTTTGGAGCTTGCTCACATATACTAGCTCATATTGCTAATGTACTCGTGTACCACTTCACTGTTATGAGGAAAGTGTGGTATACAAAGTTGGACTGCATGTTTGTTTATGAACTACATTAAGATTGAGATTGTTGTCATTATCAGTAGTATAAAGAAGAAGAGTACCTGCTGGGAAAATAAGTGACAGTGAAGAGATGGCCACTTCATCTCTCCTGGTCAGGCTTGCTGTGACACAAGGTTACCAAGCGTAGACCGTGATGAGTAGCGGGCAGTGATCCGCAGCTGCCATATTCTCCTCAAGTCACTGCAAAGTGAGCCAGAGGCAGAAGAAGAGAAGGGGTGAAAGACAGCCAAACATAACAAGGATTCAAACTTGTCAATCAAAGCAAGACAACAACAGGAGGAAAGGTGGGAGAACAGAGAGAGTAATTCATTGTGGGGTAGATTTAAAAAAGATGTGAGGGCAGAGAAGGAGAGGAGGAGAATAATGCAGAAAAAAATCCTAGGGAGCCCACTTGAAAGGAAGGAATGTTTTGTTTCTGCATGAAGTCAGTTCAGTTGTGGGTTATTCTCCCACTGGGGAAACTAATTGCTTGTTGATCTAATGTTCTATCCCCTCCTGTCCCTGAAAACCACCACATTTGATGAGTGATGAGTCTGTTTTTTTTTTTTTTCGTCTGCAGGAACGGAACTCCTGGCCTCCCCCCATTTAAAATTCCCCAAGGGAAACTAATTGCTTGTTGATCTAATGTTCTATCCCCTCCTGTCCCTGAAAACCACCACATTTGATGAGTGATGAGTCTGTTTTTTTTTTTTTTCGTCTGCAGGACAGGAACTCCTGGCCTCCTCCAATCTAAATATCCACAAATCAGAAGAAAAGACTTTAGGCTCAGTTCCAAATTCAATGAGGCATTAATGCTACTCAGCCCACCGCTGCCTGCCCTTAGAATGAGACCTCTGAGGGTTTCCTAACATTGTTCACTTCACTTTCTCATTCTCTCTTTGCCCATGTCTGTTTCCTTTTCCCTCTTGCTCTGTGAGGCACATCAGTAGGTGCATAATTAATGAATTTAATGCTAGGATTCATGCACATATTATGTGTGAATTAGAGAAAGAGTCTCAGCTCCAAGGTAGGAATTATTATATAGATGGATGCTCATCCTGTGGTGGGTGTTGTGTTTTTCTGTGTGTGTTTGTTTTTGCCTGGCTGTCACTTATCTTCCCTCCTGTAATGTTGATCGCAGCATCTTTAGTTTTTCAAGGAGAAGCATCATTATCTCGACTTCTGTAAAACATGTTATATGGTAGTGAAGTGGAAGAAAATGTGGGTGTGCCATCTTGTTTAATGGGGTCACCAGTGGTTAGATGTGTCGCTTTGTACATCAGTTCAGTAACTGTATTCTGGACATGAGGATAATATTGATGCCAATATGGGAGTGCTTATTTGAGTGTGCGTGTGAGTAAAAGAATGTTTATATATGCATTCTACTGCTCACCAGTTTGCCTTGAGTCAGTTTCGCAGCACATCTATCTCAGATGGCTGATTCAGCACAGCCTCCCCTGCTTTTCTCTTGACTTTTGTCCATTTATGAGCATCCAGGCTACTGTCTGTCTGTAAACATACAGCCCAAGGGCAGATCCCGATTCACATATTCTGCTCCCAATCCATCAAACACACAGTGAACAACCTATTGTGATCCCTTTTCATAAGAGTTGGGGCAATAGATTTTAGGCTTGCTTTTGTGTGTGAAAGAGAGCAAAAGATGGCCATGTACAGTGCGTGCGAGTGGTTCTCTGCTCACCCTTATGTATGAATTTTATAGAGCAAAGTTGATGACACAAGTTCTCCTACCAACCTGCTGAAAATGAATTTTTGATCTGTTTTATCGTCTCGTAATCTCTTGATATCTGTAGAAGTTATTGCTTTATAAAATGTCTCTGCAGCTGCTTTATGCTTCCCCATATGGTCAGGGAGGATTTTTAAGAGTCTCACTATTGTTGTATTAGGAGGAGCTTGATCTTTTACACACATGAAATCTGTGCATGTATATTACAAATCAGAGGAGGTCAAACACTGTGCAGTATGTTTTGCCATCATTGTGCATTGCAGCTGTGATCTGCCTCACAGCTCTGAGGGCAGCCTTATAATGTTTGTGGTTGCTGTGGGGAGGTGACAGTGGTGCTGTGGGGAGGTGACAGTGGTGCAGTGGGTAGAGCAGTCGTCTCCCAACCAGAAGGTTGAAGGTTCGGATCTCGGTGCCTCCAGTCCAAGTGTTCTTGGGCAAGACACTGAACCCCCCCGATGGTTAGAGCCATCAGTTGAGTTGGTACCGTAGATGGCTGCCATCGGTTCTGTACCGGAAACAAATTCCTTGTGTGTAACATACTTGGCCAATAAAGGTGATTATCCTTTTCCTGTGGTCCGGTCATGTACACCATGTGTGTTCTTATGTGACCACGTGCAGACACTGTTGTGTGACCAGACATAAGGTCGGCCAGTTAGCCTCTGGTGTATATGTCAGCCACACCACAGAATATGGGAGAGCAGCCACTGTTGCAGACAGCAGCTTGAATTCTTTCTCCCTGTGTGTGTGTGCGCATGTGCATGCATGCATGCATGCATGATGTCTCCTCTTTCACCTTCACCTGCTTGCTGTAGCTGTCCTATGCTCTGTCCTTCACTAACAACCCATCTGAGAGCCAGACTGAATGGTATGAATGGAGGAGTCATAAAACAAGATCCTGCCCTTTTTACAGCATGGCTGTTGCTTTCACAACCAGTCTCTCAGTGCATTTTTAATGAAGCATAAAATTTTTAATTACATCTTAAAAGCCTGTTGATACAAAGCTCTAAAGGTTTTTCTCACATAGCCACAGCTCCAGGACATGCAATGACTCAGTACTTATTTAACCGATCCCTTTTGCTTCTAATATCTGGAAACACTTAACCACTGGCTCATCATTTTGTTTTTCCGATAGTCTGTCATTGTCCACAGACTTTGTATGAGACATTTTGTTTTTGATCTCGGCTGTGCGTACTTTGTTTTACCACACCCATTCTCCTTTTTACAGCTACTCAGATGCTGCTGTCACAGTTTAGTCCATGAGAAAAGGAAAATAACTAGTATGAATGGATGCTGTCTTTACTTTTACTCAGGCAAATAAATGTAGCTGGAGAAACAATAAGATGTTTGTCCTGTTAAATGTATAACCCCCCTCCCCCCCTAGTTTTCTTCCCCATAAGTAAACTTACTAAAATAGTAGACATTTATCATGGTTATTATAGTCAGTAAATCCTTCCACACACTGCAGAAACCCTCCACTGTGTATTCCTTTTGGGATATGAGGATAAATTGATTAAATTTTTGTCTATATTTAGGCGCAGTGACATCAGCCACAATATTCTTTGTCCTCCACCTGGACTTTTAGAATTTAGGACTCTGACACACCATGCCAGCCTTCACAAAGTCCCAGCAGTGAGGGAATAATGTTTTGCCTTCTTTGCTTTGCTTGATGTTGTCTCATGTATAGCCGACCACTGGCAGGCATGTACACCAATCAACCATAACATTATGAACACTGACAGGTGAAATGAATAATATTGGTTATCTCATTACAATGGCACCTTGTCAGCATTTGGGGTATATCAGGCAGCAAGTAAACATTTAGTCCTTGAAGTTGATTTGTTGGAAGTAGGTAAAACGGGCAAATTTAAGGATCTGATCTTTGACAAGGGCCAAACTGTGATGGCAACTGGGTCAGAGCTTTTCCCAGACTGCAGGTCTTGCTGGGTGTTCCCAGTCTGCAGTGGTTAGTACCTACCAACAGTGGCAACAGGGTCATGGACACCCAAGGCTCACTGATGATGAGGTCGACCTACTGTAGATTAAATTTTTACATTTCATTCATCCTTTTCAAAAGATTACATTTTGTTTGAGTCTTTGTTAAAATGGTTGAAAATGAGAAACACTGCACATTGGTCTCTATGGAGAAACATTCAGCAGCTATAGTGGTGATATCACACCTAGAGTGGGGAGGCTGTTGAATTTGTCAAAAAATTCTTTCTAACTCATCCTCACGACCACAGTTTTGACTCCTTTTACATAAGTTTTTCACTAAATGGTTGACACATTCATGCTCTTCCTGACAGTAGAACTATGGAAGCAAACAAATTCACAGTAGATGCACAGTGACCTGCAGAGTGACACAGATACCAACCAACTGCCACATTGACTCCTGTGTATTAAGCTGGTGGTCATAATGTTATGGCTGATCAGTGTATGTTCTTTGTCTCTGAGAGAAGTGACAGAGTCAGCAGGCTGTGTTCCTAATCTAAAAGAGAAAACAACATGGAAAACAAACCAAACTAGCCAAGCATTTCCATGCTATCAGTAATATAAACAAAACACAGACACCCGGAACTAGAACCTAGTCAGGTCGAACTTTGTTTTCTCTCTCTGTGTTCATTTCTGCTCACCATTTTTGCAAATACCTTAGAACCACATTCCTGACTCATATACTGTATGTGTGTTTTTAGTTCACTTGCTGACATTGTTTTGTTCTTCTCTCAGCATGCCCGCCAGGTACGTTCAAGTCGACCCAGGGTCCAGGTCTGTGTCTGCAGTGTCCTCCTAACAGCCGCTCCACAGCCGAGGCCGCCACCATCTGTGTGTGTCGCAATGGCTACTACCGTGGGGATGCTGATCAGCCAGATGAACCCTGCACTAGTGAGTATATCATGCATTTACATGCATAGCATTAATACCGTCGCACACTGACACTAGCAGTCAAACGTTTGGACACACTTTCCCAGTGAATTGAATGAGAAAGTGTGTCCAGTATAGAGAGTGATTTTGTTTTTCTTTCACTCCTTCTGTGTCTCTTTTTCATTGTCACCAAACCACCATATGTAGTAGCATTTAAATGAGGATGTCTAGATCCTTAGTTGTCTTCTTAGTGTGGTCATAATAATGACATTGCATGATTTCCTTCATCAACGTCTCCATCACTGTGCCAGTGAACTTCCTTTTCTGTTACTCCTCAGTTATTTTCCTTTCTCTGACATTCTTTCTTACTGCTATTCTTCCTTTCTGTCTGCTGTCATCCCCAGAAGTCCTAATTACTCAGGCAGATGCTGCGAAGCTTCGACACTGTCCTGCCATTAGCCACTGGAGATCCAATAAGGCCTCTCGTAGTATCATCGTTATCTTAATATGATGTAAAAGCAATATGCTAAACCTCGCTGCTGACACACAGTTACACAGAAGGAGAGCACTGTTAGACCCCCAAAAAGTCGGTTTGACTCTTCTTTCGCTTCCACCAGGGAGTGTCTTAATGGTTTATTCTCCTTATAGCAGAAGACCTGGAAGTATTATTAGTGTGGTTTTATATTCATTTAGTCCTGATTTATTCACAGAGGCCTGGCTAATTGGCCTCAGGAATGGGCTCAGGAACCCGCTCCTTTCCTAAGCAGTTAGCAGCTGCGTAGTGTAGCCTTCCCAGCTAAACATGTATTGAATGTGCCTCTTTTGCCATGTATCCCTTTTATAACTTTGAATTAAATGCCTTAAAGCTGCAGGGGAACCCAAATGCAGCATGGTTGTCTGCGTTTGAACACTTCCCAAGAGTAACCATCCACATTTTTAGGCTTTGGATGTTCTCAGCGGATGACACCCGACTTTCACCTTGAGTTTTCACCACCCTCCCATGGTATACTACAACTCCCTGGTGAGTTTGTGAATGCTCCATCAAGTATAGCATTTGCCTCTACCTTAAGGCCTTAAATTTTCCCTAAGCAATCTCCACAACAACTCCCCTGTGGAGCTTCCTGAACAGATTCCTCCAATGTGTGCTACGTCTCCAAATGCAGCCTTTTACTTTTTTTCTGCTTTCAGTTATGTCACTTCCCTTCTAGTCATCTCTCCTGTGTTCCGTTCTTTTTCCTCATCTGCTTCACACTGTTTTCCACTCATGCTAAGTATAGCTTCAGTCCTCTTTAAAACCTAACATTTAGGCTAAGATTGGTTTTTAATGATAACACATTCCAGGTGTTACATAACTGTTCAAAAGTTAAAAAAAAAAAAAAAATTAAAAATGCCCACTATCACAATTACAATTACACAATTACAACTGCATACACTAATGAATATACAATATTTATTACAAGAGACAGCATCCCAATTTAAAAAAACATCCCTCGTGTATTCAAAATGTGCTGCTCCTTTTAACAATTATGTTTAATTTCTGTTCATGCTAACGGAATTCCTATGCAACAGCACATTCAAAGCCTTCTCTGAAAGATGAACCATAGCACCTGAGCTTGATGCTTGGCCCTAGATCTCAGCGGGGGGAGAGGGGGTAGTGAGATCATCCTACTAAGAATCTCTTTAATACTGTATGTACTGATAAGCACTGCTAGAGTAGCTTAAATCTGACCAATGTGTAACAGCAGAAGCTGCAGTGTCAGAGGCACACGGTCCCTGTTTGCTCCACATCAGTCTGATTAGCTTGCTGATGGATTGTCCAGCCCCTGGATCTGTCAGTGGGGGGCTTCATGCCAAAGATGCATTTCAAACTACCCCTCTTATCCCGATCTTCTGTCTTGTGCTGACTCAAGCCCATACCTTAGGGGAGGAACGCCAAACGTTCCATCTCAGAGCGTGAAGCCCGCTCCTCTCAGCTTGGCTACCCTGCATAGTGTGCTTTGGGACTGTGGTTTTCAATGCACTGCATCCTCTCCTAGTCTCCTACTCCTGGTCCCAGTCTGACGTATCTCTACCTCCCCTTGGGTGTACATGTGTGAAAAAGAATTAATGCATGTGTGTGAGAATGATGCAGTGGCGGGTGGTCAGCCCAGCGCCAGCATGCTGGGCCAGTGGGTTATTCTCAATGTATGAGTCAGAGTAGGAGAATGACAAGCTGAGTGGTAACTGAGGGGAGTCAGGTGGTGAAACCAGTGCTGATTGGTGCCTAGGGGAGAAGGGATGCAGTGATGGAGCATCCTGGTGTGAGGAACAGTGGAGAAGGGAAGGGAGTGATGGGAAAGAAAGACTAATGACAGAGATACAAAAAAAAATCCCATCAACACAGTGGGAGGGATGAGTCCATCTAAGATTTGAATCCATATATTTGAAGGTTTAGTTTGACTTTAGAAGGAATGAGGACTTGCAAAAAGAGCTGTCTAGGGAAGTACTACCCATAGCCCACAAAATGATTATGTATGAGAGAGAGTCCAAGTGAGGCATAGTGTCATTTAGTAGGAAACGTGCTGTATATGCACATGTTTACAGTGTGGAAACCACCACTGCCAGCCACTAACCAATGAGTTTCATGAGGCAAATCTTTGGAATGTAATTGAATCAACAAAAATATATGAAAAGAGAAGGAAAATAGGATGGTTTTGATGGCTTACACTATTCTTGATCCATGGCCACATTTGAATCTGAATCTTGTGACTGTTCCTCATTATTCATATCTGTTGGCTAGTCCCTGAAACCCTCGAGTCATATCAGACATCGTCTATGCCTCGTGCCGCAAACAAAACCCGTTAAAATTTCTGAATGAAAGGATGAGGTTATCTGTTTTTCCATTCTCCTCATCATGCCATTTAGTTTAATTCATATTCACTGCCTCTCCTTTTTTCCATGTTGTGTTTTCAAAGAAAAAGATGAGTGAGCTGTCAAGGTGCACAAATAATCTATCCTCCCCCCATTTCAACCTCGTTGTCGGGTATGGGTGCTCCCAGGAGCACAGCAGTCAACTGGCCGATTACCCCTGCCCTACTCTAATCTTTGTATTGGATGGGAAGAAGTTATGCTCCAGACTAGTGGTACATGCTTGCACACATGTTCAACAATGAGACGTTGTGTTTCTCTTTTACATCTGGAGCTTTACGGATCCAGAGTCAAGATAGTTCATTTGGAGTTACTGTATAAACAAATGTGGGTGTCTATGTTATCCTTATCTCAGTTCAGGAAATGCTTCTGCATCTTCACATTGTATCAGGCAAATTATTGGGGACGCACCCCCATCTCCCAAACTGTGCTGCATGCTCACATACACACAAACGCACAGTCTATCTGTGACTCCCTCAGCCTCAGACAGTATTAGTGCTTATAACATGTATTGTTTCATGTCTCACCAGCCCACCCAGCCCTTCTCTCTTTCTCCCAGCTCCTCTGGTTGTGATCAGTATCTCCACAGAGGGGCCTTCTGTTGGTCCCGGAAGGCCTGTCTTACATAATAAAAACAAACAGTTTGAAAGAAGAGAAGCACCGGCCACTAAACAATGTGCAGAAGTGTTTATTTTGGGCTCTGGGGCACTTTTTATATTTGCAGCCAAGGGAGAAATTTGGGTTGTGGTTTTACAGCCCCTGTGGCACCTCAAAGCCCTCTCAGTATCAGGGCAGATGTGTGTATTTCAGTTTGTGAGTCCACCTGTCGCAGTAGCCAGCAGTCAGACTGTCCCTTTCAGTGCCTCATCATCATAGATGTTTGTGCATAGAAGGCACATTGGAGATAATGCACATTGTGATATTGCCATTGTTACTTGTCCAGATGATTTAAAGACAGAATACCACACTATAATTATGCATACAATTGGTTGCAATTTATTGTGGGGACATATGCTTTATGGAGCAAACATTAGTGCACACACTGCTACTGTACACAGCATATGCTGGCCTTAAATTGATCTTTGTTCATTTGCTTGGTATTTTCATGCTCCATGCAGCTTGTAAGTTAGGATGTGTGGTGCAGCAAAAACAGTTTTACATCCCAAACTCTCTCCAGATTGTCATTTAAATAGAATTATTATGGGGAATTGTCAGTTTATGCAGCCATTTAGCTTACACAGCCTAATTGGAAGCAGTGACATTGTTGCATGCAACCACGAGCACATCTAACTGAGTACAACCTTATTAATAAAGTAAGTACAAAATAATAAATGCGACCAATAAAATAACATTTTATTTTCACTTTAAATGATAATGATAATATTGGCCAACAATACTGATTTTCATACTTGGAGGATGTGAACTAGCCTTTCCATTTGTTTTCCCTCATCTTGCCATGTGCCACTGAGATTGCCACAGCTGTTTAAAAGGTATGAGACAAATAATATGGCCACGGATATATGATTCATCATTGCACACTCCAGTTCCCCTTCATCAAACCCTTTTGCACACAAAGCAAATGCCCAGACTGAACAAAAATAACATGTGCCTTGGCACTTTGCAGTCTTTATTATGATTGCACTGTTAAAATAGTGTCCTTACTCAAAACAGGTACATGGCCTGCTTGGAGATTATGTTTTGCTCTCACAGACAATGTGAAAGCAACATGTATGTACACCCAACCAAATCTGACTGGCATACAGTAGCTAAATGAACACCAGCTGGGAGCTTGTAAACTTAAGTACCATTCTCAGCAAATTAAATGTCAAATTAAAACAGCCAAAGGCTGCCGTAATAGTCTGCAGATCACTGGTTAAGTGGCGTTCACATTTGATTTCTGCTGCCCTTTCATATGTGCAGCCTTGTTACAACAATTACAATTGCGACAGTTGTGTGTGACTCCTTGTTTACAGCTCGCCCAGGAAATTGTTTTTTCCCTCTGCCACAACTGTATGCATACATTGATACAGATATACACGGAAACAGATAATTCAGGCACATGGGTTTGTGCCACATGCATTTTCCACATGAACAGATGTGTGTTGCTTTTCGCAGCACTGCAAGTTTGGGGCCAAGTGCATGCATGTGATGGATGATGCAGAGGATAGAAGTGGTTTGAGTAATACCTATTGTGCAGTAACCAAGGGAAAAGGCTAGTGTGGTGCCAAGCAAAAACCTTTCTTCACTCTATTCTTTCCTCCATATACAATGCATCTGGTAGCATCCAAGGACCTCGTGCCATTTGACCATTTATCAAAAGCACTAACTGTCCTCTTGGCCAGACCATAATAATCATACTGAGTGGGTCAGGCATAGTCACTGACCTATCTGTTGTTGACCTCTCCATTGTAGCCACACTGAGCTCAGGTTGCCAACAGTAACAGCGTTGTTTCCTCACCCTTGAGTCTTCTGCTGCTTTGTCCCAGCTCCCTGGAGCTATCCCACATGTCTTTGCAACAATGGTTAAATGTGTCTTGTGTTGACTGAAGTAACTATCTTACCTACCGTAATTTCCGGACTATAAGCCGCTACTTTTTTCGCGTCATGCACACATCCATCATGGAAAACACACGATGAAATGCATATGATGCAGCTTTCAAGTTAAAGGCGATCGATCTGGCTGTCGAAATATCTCATGTTACAACGTGGACACCTGCGGCTATGTACAAACTGTTTTTTTTGTTTTAAATTTAGTGGGTGCAGCTTATATTCAGGTGCGCTCAATAGTCTGGAAATTACGGTATGCCCCACAGGAAGAAGAAACTCAAATGCTGTCTCCCATTGTGTTTAAAATTCTATATATATTCCTCTTGTTGTCACATTTTTAATTTGTAAAAAAAAGAAGAAGGGAAGTACAGTATGTTAGAGAGTTGAGTAATCCATCAAAGGATCTCTAGAATTTAGTGGATTTTTAGTTTTACAGTAGTCATGGATCTAGAAATGAGTCCATTTAACTTCTCGTTTGATGATAAAGGTCAGGCTTTATGGAGGATAAATTGGTACCAGATCAGCTCTGCAGGGCATCCTCACTCAACCTAAGCAGCACTGACTAAGGGCTTTGGCAAGCTTCTGCTTTATCGGCAGTGTCTGTTATCTGAGAATAAAGAGCTGCCTCTGAGCAGCCGGGGGGGACACACAGTCTCAGCTAAGCAAAATTCTACACTGCCATTTGAAAGATTCTAGCTCTTAAGGAATTGTGCCCCAACTGCAGGAGACTGAACAAGCTTCTTTTCTGCACCCTAATATTAAGCCACCACTCAAGCAAGACAATAGTTTTATTATTTCTTGATTTCTTTCTGAATATTGCCTGTGAGGTCATGCTCCAGCTGTGGAATGTGAGGGAGTGAATGGGAGCGTGAATCTCCAGAGCCACTTGGATAAGAATACTCCATGCAACACTGCATTTTGCTAAATAACCAATGTTTGATGACACAAACGTTTCGCTGTATGATCGCTCTGGGTGTGAATGGAATAAATTAGCATTCCAATTGTGCTGAAGATGGAGAAAAAGAAGAAAAAGTTGCTCTAGGAAAACAACACTTATACTTATTACAGGGTTGTAAATTGTCTAAACTGACCTAACAGCAGGGGCATTTATGAAATGGTTTTACATTTTTACAGGGAGTATATTATTTTTTTTTAAGTTCATGACAGCTTGCCTTATAACAAAGCTTTTTTTTTCCTGATATAAAATGGGTCTCACTGTAACACTGAATATCACTGCAATGCAAAAAAAGACATTACTGAAAACATTTTAGATATGACCTCTGCTTGTTATTTACATTTTGTCTTGATATGTTTTCCTAAAATAGGTCAGAATGTGCAGCTACCAGAGGTCTTAAAACAGTTAACTAAACTTCACACAAGGCTTTATATACTGTACAGGCTAGAGTGTGGCTACCCGAACCGAGTCTGACAGGACCCATCAGTACCTGAGGGTTTGTGCCGGGTTCAAACAGAAAATTAGGACTTTTACCTTCGAACACGTAGCTCAAACTTTTGGCTGGATGGCTGCAGCACTCAAATGTCTGTTTTCTTTAATGATAAGGGGTAAAACACTGTACAAACTCAACTGCATTGGGCTCGGGTTGGGTTCAGACATTATGTATTATAAGCTTGTCAGGTTCGGATGCCACACTCTCAGACATGGACTAGGTTTAGTCAGAAATATGTGGCCCAATCCATGCTACAAACTTCACATTGAAAGTCATGCATCCAAACCACTGAGCCACCACCCCAACTAGCGACTGGTACAATGCATTCAGAATGCAATACCTCAGCAACTGAATGGGACAAAACGATGCAAAACCCTGTTGTTTTCAAGTAAACACCAAAGCATACTGGAATCCTTTTACAGATATGCCCTTGTTTCTAGCAAAATAAGATTTTAATCCAAATGAAATAAACTTGCTAATTTAGAGACATTTCCTTGAATTATGTCAAATAGCCTTGCATAGGCAATTCCAGATAACCATGTCTATACTCAGTACAAGTCTGACTAGACTTTACATCTACCCCACCAATTTTTGAACTAAGTTTTTGCAGTGTAGCTACATAAACATTTAGCTAACATCTTTTCTCTGTGTGTCTACAGGTGTGCCATCTAGCCCAAGGAATGTGATCTCCATTGTGAATGAAACCTCTGTGATCCTGGAGTGGCATGCCCCCAGGGAGACGGGCGGCCGTGACGACGTCGTCTACAACATAGTGTGTAAGAAGTGTCGGGCTGACCGGCGCTCCTGCTCCCACTGCGATGACAATGTGGATTTCATCCCGCGACAGCTGGGCCTGACTGAGACCAGGGTGTTTATCAGCAACCTGTGGGCTCACACCCTCTACAGTTTTGAGATACAGGCTGTCAATGGAGTCAGCAATAAGAGCCCATATCCCGCCCAGCATGTGTCCATAGACATCACCACCAACCAAGCTGGTAAGTGGCTGCTGTGGCTAGGTGTAATGGTGATAATGATAGTGTTGTTGTGGACTGCTGATCATACTGATCCTCATCGTCATCATGTGCCTTTCCATATGTCGTAGTTGTTTTTGAATCGCTCCTCTGTAAGCAATAAAGTTTCACTCTAGTTTTATTTCATGTTACATTTGTAAAATGGAAAATTCCCCTATTATTGCATAGATGTGAATTACTTCAACTTAAAAGACCATCACTCTACACAATGTGCATTTCAGAATGTTATTTCACAGCATAGCTGACTGCAGGGCCACTATAATTTCACATTGCTCCACCGTGAATAATGACTTTAAAGCTTGAAGCATGAGTCCAGCTGCTTTAGTGAAAGTTATACCTATATGCTCTGTCTAGGCTTTCTTCCCCTGAATTAAAGTAATGGCTTTCTCTTTTGAAAACATGATGGAGGCATTCAAACCCAGACCTTCAGTAAGACAGATTATGTTACATTTTACAGCCGGACAAGCACAATTCAGTGATCTGTCTCTCTTTCCTTTGTAGTTTATTTACACATCAAATCTGATGACAGAAGTGGCCCTAGTTTGCATTTCTCTCTGAGCATTCCAGAAATTCTTGCGTTTTAACATTGGTAAAGGTAATCATCACTCCATAAACAACAAAAGCCATTTATAAAAAGCTCCTTTTTTGAGGTTGAAGGCTGGTTGCTTCACAGACTGACAAACGTCTTTGTTGTTTTGCTTTGGTCTTTGTTTTTAGAACGATGTTGCACAGCGAGTCAGCACGTCTCTCTTCAGGAAAGGCTACACCCCAGCTGAAACCTATCTATAAATCTTCAGATTTATGCACTCACATACCTACTCTCTGAATTAACAAAAACAACAAGAGATTTCATCTCTGCTTTGTTTTTCCTAATTCAGTCTCTTTCATATAATTGAATTACATTGCTCATTTCATATTAGGTGTGAGCTACAAAACCATAATTTTTGTCTTACACAGTTTTAGGCTTTGCATCAACAGATTATGCTGAAGTACAAGTTTCACCTTCAGTACTGGATAACTGTTATCCAGGTTCACCTCTGTTCACTGTTCGATGCTTTAATGTCAAACTGGAGGAGACAGACCTGAGAGCTGCTGTTTTCAGGCCAGGCTGAAATGTTTTTTCCGTTGCTCTGTCTTTTGTCTCTGTCTGTCTCTGGTATGTTTGTGTCCATGTGTATGTGAATTCCCTGACTTTTCCTGTGATGCATCTAAGCCCAGCCAATGAAAATGACCACCATGTTATTTTTCTCTCTCTCTTCCCTCTTTTTCTCCCTTGGTCCAGCCAATAGAAATGACAGGTTGAGGATATTGCCTTTATCGGTCCTTTTTGTTACAGCACTTTTCATGCTCTTGTAAGTCTTTGACTTGTAGTCAGAAGCACCTACCAAGGGACAAGTATTGACCAAGTGAAAAATTTAAATGAGGCTCTCTTCATCTTTCTGTGTTTCTGTGGATGAGGCGGACCATGGAAATCGCAGTGTGAGCTTGTGGGACCTAATAACAGCCATAAAGTGGAGTTACAGTGTGGTGAAACACAAGAGGTTGTCATTTGAATTCATACTGGCAAGGCTCCCAGATGGAAAGAGTTACAAGTTTGACATCCCGGATCCCTGGATCCTTGTGTTGGCCATGCACTGTGATTTTCTGTGTCACGCTGTCTGTCATGTACAGTTCAGTGCTTGTGTTGCCAAATACATTTTCAGATCCAATGATGAAATAAAATGGTAAAATGAAGTCAGAAGTACTCATGCACATTTCCAATTTAATTGTAGAATGAACTTCACATTCATCTCAAAGGCCATTGAAATAGAAATTGCTTTATCCAGATCTCTTTTGTGTAGCAGTACATTTTGAAATTATATTTGGCCCACTTGGTGGAGGGCATACCATATTTGATTACGATGGCTCTCAGAGGAATGTAATGACCAACTGAATTTGTCTTTGTCAGAGAATGAGTGAGGAGTGGAGGGAAGACATGCCGGGAAAGAGAAATAGTGTATTTTTTTTACATGTCGGCAAGACTGTGACAGTGAAGGAGAGGAAAATGAGGGAGTAAATAGGTTTGATTATCAGGGTGGCCTAATGGTGCTGACTATCCCCATTTGACAGGCTAATAGCACACTTGACAGATAGATATAGAAGAAGCAATGCCGAGGCCCATTGTTGAGGTCTGCTGCAGTAATGAGGTGTCTGCCAGTAATCTGCCAGGCCTATGTCCGGCCCTATGTGGCCTTTTGTAGCCAGGTAATTGCACTGTTCCTCATTCTGAAAGGGGGTTTCATTGGCAGGTTGCTAAAAAAGAAGTTTTCAAAAAGAATTAATGTGATTAATGCATTTCAAAATCTAGAAGTAGAGACTTGTTAAAGTTTAGGGATCAGTTTTTTAAGACTGCTGCATTGAGAAATACAACATGTTGCTGTTTTGGGGAACCTTGATGTTTTGTGCTCAGCGCCCTCGCATGATGCACGGTTGTGAGAGGTGGTGTAACAAGTGCCATGTAAATGTAGTAGCATTAGGAGAACTGTTATGTATTTTGTAAGAACTCGGCCCATGGGACTATGCAAATATTCAATGCAATACATCCATATATTCTAACTGCTGAAAATGGGAAGTAATGTGAGAAAAATGAAAACCCAAACAACTATACTCTTTTCTGCTGGTAGTGATGTTGAAGGTAAACCATCACTTTCTATGTTTAATGGGTAAAGATCATGACAGTTTATGTTTTATCAGTTTAGAAATATTGTGTTTGTTGATATTTGTGACTTTAGTGAAGCTCTGATCGCATTTCATGACCAATTTATGCAGAAAAGCAGGAAATTGCAAACAGTGCCAGTACTTTTTATTGCAACTGTGAAATTGCACAACACTGCTTTGATTTGTTGGGTTTTTCCTTTATAATAATAGTAAGGTCTGGACCGTACTTTGTAAAGCATCCTGAGATGGCTTTTGTTGTAATTTGGCGCAAATAAAATTGAATTGAATTGAAAATTGAATTCAATTACTTTTTGTCTCTTACTCTCAAGGTGAGCCATTTTTGTCATGTGCTGTTTGTTGTGCTGTTAGAAGGGCAGTATGATTGCTTAGTAGATCATAATTAATCAGCATACCCTCTTATTTATTTTTCATTTCACCCATCTCCACCTTTTTTGCAAATAACATGGAAGCATGTCCCTAAATGTATTATGAAAGTAAATTGTGAGACCATCTATATATGCACTCATCAGCTGTGCTACATGGAGCAGCAATTATGGAAGTCACTGTGACCGGGTTATGAAAAGGAGGACTTGTAATGTCAGTCACATCCAATCCATCTCAGTTTAAAGGCTAACTTCACGTGTCAGTAACACCACAGAACCTACCACTGAGTTCAGTCAAAGTCCAAGCAAAAGCAAGAAAAATTTGCAGTTTTGCTCCTGTCGAAGCCTAACTTTTAAGTTTTTGTAATTTCAAATAAATAATGTCAAGTCCTTTATACCAACATAAGTATTATTTGCTGATTCTCAGCTCAAAGCATCATCATCAGGTATGAGATTTTAAATAGAGCCTTCCAATGAGAGGAAACCTGTTAACAAGCGTAATAGCATAATATTACCCTTAGTATTATAAGAATGTCAGACTCGGAGAACAGATTGGTCTTTTAAATCAGAGTAGCAAATTAAAAAAAAGTTTGTGACTGCCTCAGTGGAGTCTTTGCCTCTTCAGCTTGATGTGGCTTTAGTGTGGACTGTTGGGAGATGAAGGAAAACCAAGAGACCATCTGCAAAACAGAAAGGCAGCAGTAGTTAGAAGGGAGGAAAGGAGAGAGTGCAGGAGAAGGAGATGAGGGAACAATGGAGGTGAGGAGAGAGCTGAAGGGATTTAGAGTGAGTCACCGCAGAGGCCATTTAACTGCCCTTGATCCCCACGTGTGTCTGGGTGGAAGGTTTGATCAATAATGTGATGTAGGAGTTCATTCATGGACTGTGCTCTCTAGGAGATTCAGACACATAAGGATACAGATGTGCAAAGGTTATATACTGCTCCTTCTTAGTCTATTATTCCCACCTTGCCTGAATTGAGTTATAATTATTTGTGTTACCTATTGAAAAATGCCTTTTTTTGTCTCTTTGTGAAATAGTATGGCTCAATTTAAGTAGGAAGAGACTCTCTCTACCTCTAGTGAATTTATTAAAATACTGAATGGGGACAAGAGGAAAATATTCTATCTCGCTTTATGTTATGGAAGATGAATGGCAAATGGGCCTACACTTGTATAGCACTTTTCTATGCATTGCAGCACACTCAAAGCATTTTCACACTAATTGGCCATTCACGCACCGGTCTCATCACCGGGAGCAACTGGGGGGTCAGTGTCTTGCTCAAGGACACTTCAACATGTGGACTGGACAAGCCGGGAATCAAACCGCTAATCTTCCAGTTAGGAGACAACCCGCTCTACCTCCTGAGCCACAGCCGCCCCCTAATGAATGTGCTTGTGAAAACTGCAGACATGGCAGTCATTTTTCTAATGTAATCCATTCTGGACTTTTAACCACTGCCTTGGATGAGGAGGGCATTTTTCAGCCTTTTACACATGTTCCAACGTCTTTCTACTCTTAGTGATTACTGGGGATGGCTTGGTTCCCAATGCCTATGAAAAAGTCTATAACTTTCATGACTCTTTTTCAACTAATGCCTAAAGCTCAATAGTTCTTGACCTAGATTAAGTGCCAACAATCCCTCAGACCACAGAATGACTTAGCTGCTCTGCTGGGAGAGCTATTCCCACAGAAAAGCAAACATCACTATCCTCTGCCTTCTGTGGACAAGCTGAAACCAGGTTGGTTATATTCATGATGCAGTGCACTAGACTGAAATCTAAACAACCAGAGATTTGCACTCTGAGGGGTTCTAAAATCAGATGAAATGTTAGGCAAACGTGTCTGTGGAGGGTGTTCGAGAAACTCCTCATTATGTCTTTT